TGAAACACAAGTTTGCGGGAATGTTTGATAAATAGGCACCCCCTGAAATCATTGAGGTCACTATTTTAAAAAAAATAACCTGCTTTTCCACATACAAAACAACGAACCCGTTTCATCATGTATTAGAATGTACCATTAAAGGATAAATATAAGGCATAATGTCAGGCAAAGAGAATTTAACTGCCTTTAAAAGAATTTAAGTTTCAAGCCTACCGGTAATATGTTTTTAGTTTTTTGGGTGATTAGAGACACTCAGTGATATTAATGTCACAATCCTTCTGTCAAGAGATGCCATCTAGCTATTCTTGTTTTATGACAAGAACACATCTCACATTATTTATGGATTTGTATTATCAATATAATCAACATTAGACAATCTTTACATCAGGGGAGATATCTACAGCAACACCAAATGGGTCTGGCCATTAAGTCTGACAGAAGTAATTGACAATGGCAGTTGATCACTTGGCTGATGAAGGCTATGCTCCTTAAGTTAATGTAATCACAGCCCCAGTGATCTGTCACAAGCTGACAAACAATGGCGATGTGCATATTAGGATTGGCACTTGTGTCAAAACTCAAATTTCAATCAGCTACGTAAATTTTCTTGACAGTTATTATTCATTACATGATATTGACAACATTTTGTTGAATATTCTGGTCATTGTTTTGAGAAATTACACATGAAGCTCATGTTACAATTGAAACACTAAACATTAATTGAGGATGAAATGCATACAGTCCTGCAGTTAATATTATTTGTGTTTGTTTTATTACTGTAAACATATCCTCTTATTAGCCATGTTCATGGGAACCTCTCAATGTATCTTAAGAATTTGATGCAGCAGTGCTGCCTCTAGGATGGTCAGTGTCATGTAGCTGTCTTCTCTTGAAGGTCATACTTGAAGCCTTTACAGTTACATAGCCTAATGCAGATGTGTTTTAAACTTAGATCTTCAGATGAAACAATGTTAATGAGGTTTTCAGACAATATTTGACTACTGTTGTGGGTTGTGTATATATATTACAATGCACAAATTGACAGGTTCATCATATATTCTATAAATGATATTCACAAACATGGTTAATGTCAGAAATGTTACATCCATAATGTTACCTTGGATATATCTTCTTCTTTGTGAGATGGAAGGGGAAAGGAGCAAGGTGTTTCTCACAAACTGTTAAGATAGTGTGTTGGTATGATATTGTGTTTACAGCACAGCTTGTTATATCAGGTACTGGCTGCCCTATAATGGCATGTTTTAAGTCAAGATATACAGGTCATCTGAGAATCAGAATGAACATCAAAAGGTCAAATATTCCAAGATTTTATAGCAAGAAGCATTTGTAAAAAGATGTCCTGAGTATTCATTCTACTCATCAAAAGTAATAAATGCATAATTACATCCAAGTGATGGAGAGTTTGTATCTAATCAGGATTAGTGCTTGTAGTTACTTATAAAAGCACTGAATATGTTGCTTTTAACAAAGTCTGATGGCACTTTTTATTTTACACTCTTTTACAGATTTAGTGGTCTACATTCCAAGAGACAAGAGACGAAATAAAAAAGGTAGATTTTGTTACAGTTGCTTTGAGGTTAAAAGCATTAAAAATGTTTTGCATGAAAAATGTTAAGAAATTGTATTTTCTACCAAATAGTGTCTATTTTTGTTTTTGGCTCCGTTGTCCATACAACGATAAAATATATTAGCTAGCATGAGATGACAATATCTGGCTTTCTTACATCTGTTTTTTTCCATTTTCCTCCTAAAGCCATTATTTTAGTATTTCAAAGAGAGTTCAGACACACTGTGATGAGTGCTTCCATTAGATACAGTGTGTCTGATGATCTTGACAGTGTTCTGTGTGATGAAGATGTCTAGATCTTTGACAGAGAGAGGTCATCTAGTGGGATGGCTGCATATTGAAGGGCCATATCATATTACAACAGCTATATTGATTCAAAAGGAGAAGACCCAGAGATGAGACAAGATGTGCTGAGCAGAGTTGCATCCCTTGGGCATGCCAGTGATCATGGGTTTGAACCCCAGATTTTGCTGAAAGCCTGTATGATAAGGGACCATTCATAATTTATAGATAGGGGGAGTGATGATGATTTTTATGGAGAAGCATGTACAAAGTAAGTGTCCAAGTGACCCCCCTGCATGTCATGTACAAAATCAATGAACCCCTCCCCTCCCCATAATTTTTAAGCATGATTTTTAATAATATTTATGTACAAAATGGGTGACCCCCCTAGTAGCCGTGTACAAAATTGATGACCCCACCCCCTCTTCCCTCCCCAGAACAAAATGGGTGACCCCCCTTAAAATCATCATCACCCGCCCAAGCCATGAATAATGAATGGTCCCTAGCTGTGCATGTGGGTTACCCTACAGTGGTTAGTATCTGAGACCTGGGTCAATTTTCTGCTTTTCTCACACACAGGGCTTACATGACCTGGTATGATTGAAACTCACTCACTCACTCGCAGTTATCCTGTATCAGTTAGCACCATGAAGATGAGTTATGCACCATGTAAATACATACTCAAGGTGTTATTTAAAATCATAAAAGAATCAACATCTGATGCATGTTATATATATTTATGTTGGCTTTGCACAAATATTATAATACTGATGTGGTTGTAACATGTTACAGCAAACAGATTAATGCATCAATTGTTTCACCATATCACTCCAACCCACAATTGGCAGGAGAGTGAGCTTGTAATAACCTCAATAGATACAGCATATCCTAGTCCTGTGGCAAGAATTATACGAATTTTACCACTCACTCACTCACTCACTCACGGCTGATACTAAGTCACCTTCAAGACAATGGTATTTTGCATGTAGGTTACACATTACAGTTATATTATTTCTTGTAAGCCTTATGTTGCCATAATTTATATATAATGTCGGTAACCAATAGCTACTAGACTGAAGTAGGTAATAAAATATGAGAAAAAGACATTGAAAGTGTTGTTAAATCACGATGTTCAAGTTGCAAGTACTTAAAATGTGAAAATTGATCATGCTGACTGTGGTATCAGTATAAAAATATTTATAAATGAGTTTAAAGAGTACGTATATCAGTTGTATCTTCCTTAAAATACATATGTTACTTCAATATTCTACACAGTTCTTTTTTATCATTAAAAAGCAATGATGACATTTTCAACAATGTATAGTAATTCACCTTTATCAAAACTAAGAAATGTTGGTTCTCTAAACAGCTCTAAATAATTTAACAAAGTAAGGATATCTTATTCATGTGCTGCAAACACATTATCTTTCCACATTATACGTTGTGCCATTTCCATGTTATTCATTTATGTATTCATTTTACCCTTCTAGATTGACTCTTTTAGTGACAAATTATTGACACTACATCCACACAAAACAGAACATAAACTCATGTTGACAGAAAGAAATTATTATTTATGAGGCAATATTTTATCATTGGATTTATGGTCTTTCAGAGAGTATGTAAATGGTGTTGTAGCCATTGTTTCCTCATCAATTACAACACACACATTGGAACGCACAAACACAGAGAAATGTTCATACAAAAAGCATACACATACAGGCACACACACAAATACACATAGAAATACAGATCATACATACAGACATATAACCACAGATTAACAGGTAGACATACATACAGACACATATATAACCACAGATAAACAGGTAGACATACATACAGACACGTATATAACCACAGATAAACAGGTAGCCATACATACAGACACATATATAACCACAGATAAACAGGTAGACATACATACAGACACATATAACCACAGATAAACAGGTAGACATACATACAGACACATATATAACCACAGATAAACAGGTAGACATACAGGTAGACATACAGACACAGACACAGATATATACCACAGATAAACAGGTAGACATACATACAGACACATATATACAGAACCACAGATAAACAGGTAGACATACATACAGACACATATATAACCACAGATAAACAGGTAGACATACATACAGACACATATAACCACAGATAAACAGGTAGACATACATACAGACACATATAACCACAGATAAACAGGTAGACATACATACAGACACATATAAAACACAGATAAACAGGTAGACATACATACAGACAGACACATATATAACCACAGATAAACAGGTAGACATACATACAGACACATATATAACCACAGATAAACAGGTAGACATACATACAGACACATATATAACCACAGATAAACAGGTAGACATACATACAGACACATATATAAACACAGATAAACAGGTAGACATACATACAGACACATATATAACCACAGATAAACAGGTAGACATACATACAGACACATATATAACCACAGATAAACAGGTAGACATACATACAGACACATATATAACTACAGATAAACAGGTAGACATACATACATGCATACAGACACAGGTAGATATAACCACAGATAAACAGGTAGACATACATACAGACACATATATAACCACAGATAAACAGGTAGACATACATACAGACATATATAACCACAGATAAACAGGTAGACATACATACAGACACATATATAACCACAGATAAACAGGTAGACATACATACAGACAGATAAACAGGTAGACATACATACAGACACATAACCACAGATAAACAGGGTAGACATACATACAGACACATATATAACACAGATAAACAGGTATACAACACACAGATAAACAGACATACATAGATATATACATACACATACATACATATAACCACAGATAAACAGGTAGACATACATACAGACACATATATAACCACAGATAAACAGGTAGACATACATACAGACACATATAACCACAGATAAACAGGTAGACATACATACAGACACATATAACCACAGATAAACAGGTAGACATACATACAGACAGACACATATATAACCACAGATAAACAGGTAGACATACATACATATAACCACAGATAAACAGGTACACATATAACCACAGATAAACAGGTAGACATACATACAGACACATATAACCACAGATAAACAGGTAGACATACATACAGACACATATAACCACAGATAAACAGGTAGACATACATACAGACACATATAACTACAGATAAACAGGTAGACATGAACAGATACACAGATAGACAGACACACAGATGGACATACATACAGACATACAAACATCAAAAACTGTGTGAGTAGAGGTTACCCCTACTGAAATGAACATATTGCAAGAATATACCATGTTAAAGAAAGTATGTAATCAATCTTCTGTACAAGATGGCAGATGAGGTAGAGGTTGTCTACCTGAATGATGGTCTTCACTGCTGAATGATAAACAACAGGCATTTTCTCCAACTTTTTCACCTGTTTTCTATCTTGCTGTGTTTTTCCATAGGCACAGCACATTCATTGTGGAAGAAATTTTTTCTTCAAAGAGGTATGTTGTCTTTGATGTGAATGTGTTGTGAAAATTATTAACGACACATGGCGCCACTTCAAGTCAAGAAGCAAGTGTTGAGAAAAACTTCTGGAGGTGTTTTTCTATCTTTTGTCAAAGATAGATATGTTTACTCCTTTTGTCCTCTTGTAAAAAAATATATTTCTTTCATTTGAGGCTTAATGTAATCAGATTGATGCCAGCAGCAATTAACAGCTTTACATTGTTTTATGCAATACATTATCTGAGACTGAAGCTGAGTGACAGAAAATAATGGCCTGTCGTAACAATATCACAACAACATTGTCTGTAACAAAGTGAAGCCATTGCCGGCATACCTCAGGCTAACATGCCATCATGGCTCTCTGTCATGCTGCCATGTTCAGGCCAATCAGCAAAGAATTACTCATGGGAAAACTGGTGTCATATTACATGTGTATTTCACACTATATAGCTGGGGTATAACACTCTCATGCACAGGTATATTGATCTGGACCACCATATGCTCGTATTTATTTAATATCTATTTCATTTCAGTTGTTTCATGTACAGGATAATTTTCTAACTTTGATGATATATATTTTGCTAGAACCGTATGCAAATATATCTTTATAGATATATCCTTTACTGTAGAATCAAGGTCAAAATTTCTATTCCGTATTTCATATATTGTTCATGTTGACTTTCAACATAACAGTAATTTATACCTGGAATTCACAATGCCTTTTTGAATGAAAGTGGTCAAGTGTAACAAATGTTATATCTGGGATTACACTTCATAACAATGAACAAATTCTAGTACTTTGGGGGGTTTGGTTCCATCTACAAACCCAAAGTCTCTTAGTGAGGCAGCAGATCGTCAGCACACAGTCAGTCATGTAACGGATTCAGACACTGAGGCCTCCAATGGTGATTTGGTAAGATAGATGAACTTCTAGTAAATAAACATAGCTTCCATATAAAACAGTTTTTACATTATCTTCATAAAATATGATGAAAGGAGCCGAGAGACTTTCTTCATTTTCAGAAACTGTGGTAATCTAGAGTTGCCACATATTCTAGACTTTCAAGGGCTGCATTGGGTATATTTGTTTCAGGGTCTGTATGGCAGACTTTGTGTACAACATTTAGAAGAGACCTGGGCATCCCCATGGGCACCAATTTTGCTCCCCCAGCAAATCTGGATCTGATATGAATCAAATTTCTGCATGATTGCCAAAAGCAAAACAAGGTAATTTGGCAAAGAAGTTTTAGTTAAGCTTCAGATATATCATTGATCTGATATGTTTTAAAACCCTAAAATAGCTGATTCCCTTCCACTGATTTTACCCAGCTGAATTTGAGCTGAAGGCAGCAAGTGAGACAAGCTCATGTGTTTCATATTCAGATCTATGCATAAAGATTCAAAGTGACAAAAACTCTCCACATGCTTGTATGACAAGTGGGATAGTTTCAACTTTCCAATAGTAAACTTCCTCTTTATGTTGAGCAATACTCCAGCCTTTGTTTTTCACATTTCACCCACTTTTGAGATACAGCTGACCATGCTGTTTTTACCAAGATTTCAAAGTGCATCACATGACCCTTGGTCAGAAGTTGTTGGATCAAGGCTACAACGTTCTGGGCCTCAGTCAAACTTTAAAACATTTTATGCTGGACATGTAGAGGACATGTTTTGTCATGTATATTCACTTAGCAAAATCTAAGCCTTTGGTCCAACTTGAACAAATTAAATGAAATTTTTTGGTGATAAATTCTCATGGAATGAGTGAATATCTCTGATATCAGATTTATAGATGTTTGCCGTGTGGATAGATATTACAAATGTTCCATGCAATATTAATTTATTACAGTGGTTATGGTAAGACATCATTGAGTACATTAAATAATGAGGGAGTTGACATTTCTATAAGTTATCAAGTCCACACAAGCGTTGTGTGATAAGGCCGTCATATCACCATATTTACATCGAAGGAGATGGCGCTATTGTCTGATGGTTGTGATAGCACTATCTATATCATACCTGGCAGAGATAAACGTCTTGGAGCTATACCATCAAGAAAGCTCACTAAGGCTTTTAAGACACTATCAAGACGTGATCATGAGTTGAGCAGTCAGGGATAGTGTGTTGAAACTGAACACTTTACTGTAGCATTATGAGAGAATCAATGTTGTTCAGTTTGTAAAACTTCCACCAAAGTAAAACACATACTCATTGTGAATTATTAATAGGAGTTTGGTAATAAATCCTCAAGATAACAATAATGTAAAATGAAATGGAGAACTATTATTTGTTTATAAATGGTCTCCGATTTATCTTGATGGCAGATAATAAGTGGTATAAAGTGCATTATAGTATATTGTTTTTTCCTTTGTATTATCCTGCTATTGGTATATATCATTTTGAGTAATGACATATGTCATGTAGTTTTGTAGCCGATAGATTAACACCTCAGTGGTGGGTATATTGTGACAGGGGGCAGGACACAGTTGTCCCTGGGAGTGAGATTGTTATCAGAGTAGGAGGACTGACCCTGGGGGTCTTCCTCTGTACCAAGGGACAATGGGGAACAGAAGGGGAACAATGGATTAAAAAGGGGAGTCACGATAGACAGGGAATCATCAGGTATCTAATCTTGTTTTAATCCTTTGTTGTAGATGGAAGATAGCTGCAGTGTGAGGATCAGGTCAGAACACCAACAAGCATTGAATCCATGCAGTGTACAGAACGAACACCCACCAACAAGCATTGAATCCATGCAGTGTACAGAATGAACACCCACCAATAAGCATTGAATCCATGCAGTGTACAGAATGAACACCCACCAACCACCATTGAATCCATGCAGTACATTGAATGGGACAAGATTGCATTATATACTAGTATACTACTGTATCTCATAGTAGGATGGACCCATATGTCTACATGCACCTTATCCCAGTAGGATGAACACCCATATGTCTACATGCACCTTATCCCAGTAGGATGAACACCCATATGTCTACATGCACCTTATCCCAGTAGGATGAACACCCATATGTCTACATGCACCTTATCTCAGTAGGATGAACACCCATGTGTCTACATGCACCTTATCTCAGTAGGATGAACACCCATATGTCTACATGCACCTTATCCCAGTAGGATGAACACCCATATGTCTACATGCACCTTATCCTTATCCAGTAGGATGGACACCCATATGTCTACATGCACCTTATCTCAGTAGGATGAACACCCATATGTCTACATGCACCTTATCCCAGTAGGATGAACACCCATATGTCTACATGCACCTTATCTCAGTAGGATGAACACCCATATGTCTACATGCACCTTATTTCAGTAGGATGAACACCCATTCCAGTGTCTACATGCACCTTATCTTATCCAGTAGGATGAACACCCCCATGTCTACATGCACCTTATCAGTAGGATGAACACCCATATGTCTACATGCACCTTATGAACACCCCCAGTAGGATGGACACCCATATGTCTACATGCACCTTATCTCAGTAGGATGAACACCCATATGTCTACATGCACCTTATCCCAGTAGGATGAACACCCATATGTCTACATGCACCTTATCTCAGTAGGATGAACACCCATGTGTCTACATGCACCTTATCCCAGTAGGATGAACACCCATATGTCTACATGCACCTTATCTCAGTAGGATGAACACCCATATGTCTACATGCACCTTATCTCAGTAGGATGAACACCCATATGTCTACATGCACCTTATCCCAGTAGGATGAACACCCATATGTCTACATGCACCTTATGAACACCCATATGTCTACAGTAGGATGAACACCCATATGTCTACATGCACCTTATTTCAGTAGGATGAACACCCATATGTCTACATGCACCTTATCCCAGTAGGATGAACACCCATATGTCTACATGCACCTTATCCCAGTAGGATGAACACCCATATGTCTACATGCACCTTATCCCAGTAGGATGAACACCCATATGTCTACATGCACCTTATCCAGTAGGATGAACACCCATATGTCTACATGCACCCAGTAGGATGAACACCCATATGTCTACATGCACCTTATCTCAGTAGGATGAACACCCATGTGTCTACATGCACCTTATCCCAGTAGGATGAACACCCATATGTCTACATGCACCTTATCCCAGTAGGATGAACACCCCAGTAGGATATGTGTCTACATGCACCTTATCCCAGTAGGATGAACACCCATATGTCTACATGCACCTTATCTCAGTAGGATGAACACCCATATGTCTACATGCACCTTTATCCCAGTAGGATGAACACCCATATGTCTACATGCACCTTATCTCAGTAGGATGAACACCCATATGTCTACATGCACCTTTATCCCAGTAGGATGAACACCCATGTGTCTACATGCACCTTATCCCAGTAGGATGAACACCCATATGTCTACATGCACCTTATCTCAGTAGGATGAACACCCACATGTCTACATGCACCTTATTATCTCAGTAGGATGAACACCCATATGTCTACATGCACCTTATCTCAGTAGGATGAACACCCATATGTCTACATGCACCTTATCCCAGTAGGATGAACACCCATGTCTACATGCACCTTATCCCAGTAGGATGAACACCCATATGTCTACATGCACCTTATCTCAGTAGGATGAACACCCATATGTCTACATGCACCTTATCTCAGTAGGATGAACACCCATGTGTCTACATGCACCTTATCCCAGTAGGATGAACACCCATATGTCTACATGCACCTTATCCCAGTAGGATGAACACCCATATGTCTACATGCACCTTATCCCAGTAGGATGAACACCCATGTGTCTACATGCACCTTATCCCAGTAGGATGAACACCCATGTGTCTACATGCACCTTATCCCAGTAGGATGAACACCCATATGTCTACATGCACCTTATCCCAGTAGGATGAACATTTGTTGTATGTAATTTTCTACTTTGTTGACTTGAATCTTCAGAATATATGTTATTTATGTAAAATTCCAAAATGAGACAATAAATAGTGATTTTTCCAATGAATGTTGTTTCATCATGAGCGTTACCTGGTAATGAGAATGTACCTCCACCTTGCTGACATACACATGCCACTAAATGCATCAAATATACATCTCTTTGCATTTGATACATATGTAAGATGATATCTGTATAATTACATATTGTCAATAGTCAATGCAAATATACCTGCATTTGAATAAACAGATACAAGTTAGACAGCCCCAGCTCCCAACCTCCCCACCTGCTGGGCTCAAGAGAACATACATCTCCATTGCAGCATAATTTATGAGCAGCTTTTGCACAACAAAGCTTTTGTCACAAGATCACTTTTAAACTGAACATTTGTGAAATATTATTTGAAATAATTGTTGTAATAAATAATATATTTTGTTTGGAATGAATACATGTATTGTGATAATTTATAAAAAATGAATTTGAATGACTTTTTCAAGTTTCAAAGAGGACAAGAAATCATTGTTCAAAGCATGCGAGTTATGACAGTTGAATATTTATGATCTTGTCTGAGAAATGCTTCATATGATGTGTTTTTTTATTACACAGTGTGTTTTTGCAAGTTCATCAAGATGAAATCTAATCCATAGAGAATATAAAAGGTTACAGCCCTTACATCGTTTACAGTTAATGTGTACTGCTGTCAGACTTCAAGAGAAGTAATTATTTATTGTCCATTTCAGCTGCAGTTATTATCTACTGACAGATTACTTTTGTTTTTTACCTGAATGTTTTAGGTATTCCCTTTCTCTGTGACTGCATAAGGTAATTTCAGGCTTATTTTAAGATTTGCCCAAGAATCTTCATCTAAGTTTTCCAGAATATACATGAAGTGTTGTGTGATGAGATACAATTATATAAACGACTGTGTAAGAAATGTCATTTATTCAAAGGATTTATTTGTGTAAGTGTAGACAATGTATTTTACCCGGGCAGTTTTCCTCTTCATGAATGTAAGTTATAACCTCTTTCAGATCCAAACATGTTTGATCAGATGATTTCAAACACTTACAAACATTAATCATGATACAAATACATTCTGTACAAGGATAATACCAGGTGTTCAAGTAAGTGTACCTGTAGCAACAGCTCAAAGTCTTTCTCAAAGTGGGTTTGATTCTCCACATGATTCCCCACATGAGTACAATGTGTGAAGCCCATTCCTGGTGTCCCCTGCTGTGGTATTGCTGAAATATCGCTACCTCCCTCCCTCACTCACTCATTCCCTCCCCTCCTCCCTCCCTCCTCCCCACTCCTCATTCCCCTCCTCCCTCCCCTCCTCACTCCTCGCTCACTCCTCACTCACTCACTCACTCACTCACTCACTCCCTCCCTCCCTCCCTCCCTCACTCACTCACTCCACACTCACTCACTCACTCACTCACTCACTCACTCACTCACTCACTCACACACTCACTCACTCACTCACTCACTCACTCACTCACTCACTCACTCACTCACTCACTCACTCACTCACTCACTCAGCTTCTTCATCATATAATATAATGTTAACATGTTGACCAGAAAGGTTCACATGAATATCTGATCAATTCAGTTTAGTTTTAAAAAAGTGAGAGAGAAATGTCACAATATTTCATCTTGTGGACTGACACATCCCCGTGTATTAATATATTTATGCATTGTTTGACCTATACTCCTCAAGACCTCTTCAATATGAATTAATTTGTAATATAATCTACATGTCATGAGTCAAAGAACATTTATTCTATGAATAATATTGAGTAACATATCTATGTCTTACTCAGAAGTAAATCATCCAGTATAATTGATGACATCTTGACATTCAGGGTAACCTACATTGACATGAAATTGATGACTATCATTTTTCATGCAGAAGGAAATTGTTCATAATTTGAGAAAGATTATCCACCACAGCTAGCAATATTTATTGGCAGTTTTAAAGCTGCTGTTGACTTTGGTCACCACACAATGAGACAGATGACATCACTCAACCTCTCCCTGGTAGAGAGTACTCTCTTCTAGTGATATACTACACTCTCAACAACTGATATTAAATTCTTGTGTGCAATTTATTGTTTGTGGGAGACTTAGATATGGTGATATGACTATAAGAGAGCCCTTACATTGTCATGGACAAGAGAATGGGTTTGAAAGCTAGAATGATATAAAGGAGTTGTGTTATATATTTATTTCTGGTCATGCGTAACATATCATTGTCTTTGACATCGTATCATGCTCTGATATATGTTTGCAATCAATGGCCTGGCACGTCTGACATTAAAGAGAAGGCAAATATCATTAAGTTAGTTGTATAGCTTTTAAAGTGACAGCTGAGACCTGGCCCATATTATTCAGTCAACAAATTGCTGAAGTGTCATTTTAATGTATGCTAAGAATGTGACATTAAGAATGAAACATTGGTAGGTGTTCTCATTCACGCTTTAATAAATTGTATGAGGACGACACAAATGGTTTTTTATAATCCCCAAGAACAATGGTGATATTTAGCTCACCTGGTCCAGAGAGACCGTGTATCTATCATCATAAAGCTCTACATATTCCATACACAGTTGTCTGGAGACAAACAGTTTGAACAAGCCGCGTAAACGCCACATGCTTCGCAGAAACCTGTGCAGAATGACTTTTCCCTTATAATGTTTTATTGTTTGAATTAGTTCATCAGTTTAGCCAAGAGAGTCATGTTTAGTTCCCCGAATAGCACATTTTCGATGCTTCAATTTTAGTTTTCAATTCCACTGCGCAACACAATGTGATTTCATTAGCTAACCTGAAATATTGTCTGTGTTTTGCCATTTTGCTACTTGATATTGCAGATACTTCACTATTGCTGACTTTCTGCCATCTTATGAGTTTGATTATGTTGAATATCGACCTTCAACAACAGAATAACTAGTCTTCACTTTCTGATGAAACATGTTTCATGTCTTTTTTTCTTTTTTAATCAATGTTAACTTTTAACATTTG